TTGTGGGGGGGGGAAAAACCTCATTCGGCGAAAGGGGGAGGTTCGCACCAGGTTGTGTTAAAAGGGTAAAGCATCTTGGAGGAAGTTACAAAGTGTTTAAAATTGTTTTGGAAAGGGAAGGCACCAGAACATAAATTAAGTCATAGGCAGTTTTAATCGGTAGGAAAGAAAGAAAGCAAAAGATGCGGAACACCTTTAGCGGGAGGCAGTTCCCCTTTCATGGGATTCGCGAAATACCTCAGGGTGTTTCGCGTTGGGTAATGTGAGACCCGGTTCGGGGGAAAACCGGGGGTGTTCGTTCCGGGTTTGGTAGGGATGGGAGGTAAAGGTTTTACGGATTAGGGAATGCAGGATTAGGAGTACACCCCCCCCCCCCCAAACCCTCTCCCCCCCCCGGTGTTTGCCATCGGGGTTGGGTTTTCGTCGCTTGGCAGCGATGTTATAAAACAAGCCGATCACTTCGTGAGCTCGGCAACCAGGTTACCGCTTTTTTTTTTGCCTTTTTTTTTTTTGCGATACCATGAATGGTGGTCGAGTAGATCATGTTGTGCGGGGTCAAGAACCCTCACTCCGCGCAAGGGGGATAGTCGCACCATGTTGTGTGAAAATTGGTCAGCACTCTCGAGGCAGTTACAAAGTGCTTACAACTGTCTCTGGAAGTGAACGCACCAGAAAATAAATTAAGTCATACGCAGCTGTCATCCGTACGCAAGGAAGTAAGCACAAGATGCCGAACACCCTTAGCAGGATGCAGCGCACCCTTCATGCGACTCGCCGAATACCTCACGGCGCTTCGCGCTTGGTGATGTGAGAGCCTGGTCTGGTGAGAACCCGGCGTGCTCCGTCCCGGGTTTGTAGGGATGCGAGGTCAATGGTCTAACGACTACGGCATGCACGACTATGAGTACACCCCCCCCCCCCAAACCCACGACACGCTCACGTGTTTTTTCAACGCCCTGCTTCGCCCGCGTCGCCGTCGTCGCTTGCTGGGCTGGCTTCTTGTGCGACGTCAGGCCCCGCGGTCGGGAGCTTCGTTTTCGCGACCGGCGTGGTGGCGTTGTTCTACGACAACGTGGACAACGAGGGTGCCTCTTCCGACGATTGCGTGGGGCCTCAGTGCTTCGGCGGGACGTTCTTCGTGACGGGACTGTCGTGTCTCTGCGCCTGCGTCGTCGTGTACGTGGTGTTAGTGCGGACGGATTTCAACAACAGGTCCCGCCGGGCGGAGCTGTGAGCCCCGAGCTTCTTCCTCGCGCGCTCCTCGCGTGCTTGGTTCGTGGTGTTGTGGCCGAGCGCTCCTTCTTTCGGGACGTGAGGGCGTCTGTCGTGACTATGTGGTCGAGGCTAGACTGCTGTGCTGTGGCGCGCGGGATGTGTACCGCTGCCCTGTGTAGCTTTTTGCTCGGTGGTGACCTCTTCACCACTGCCGTGGACTTGACTGTGCTTGCTGTCGCTCGATTTCAGGCAGAAGGTGAAAGCGTAGATTACGGTTTTCCTAGCGGCGCCATCCCTCGATAACACCGAGGCAGGGTGCAAGTGGAATTGTGTTCATTTGTAAGCGATCAAGACACCAGCAGTGCAGCACGCTATAGAGACAGATAGTCTCGAGGTTCGGCGGCAGCATCCGCTCCTCATGGCACGTATACTGTTGGCATGCCGTTCGTCATTTCCAGGTGCTCCTTGCTGTAAACTATCAGTGTGCTATGTGCTATGCTCCTGGACAAAGGGCGTGGGTGTTACTATTCTTGCGCTGCCTTCGGGGAAATCATTTTCAGAGTGTTGGAACAATCGACTGTGGGACCTCTAGTTCTGAAAATTACTTCGGTGTGTTTTATAGACTCCTGTTCATGCGTTTGTCTCCGAACAAACCGTGTCGCGAGCTGTCGTTGTGTGTGTGTGTTTGTGTGTGTCTCTTTCCGTCCCGTCTGTTGTGGGGTGGCGTGTCTACACGCCTCGTGGTATGTTTTTTTCGTATCAGCCTGTGCTGCTTGCACAGGACTGCGGAACATTAACACAGGGAAAATGTTTCCTTGTGTCGTCGAAAAATTCGCTGGATTTTTTTAAAGTCGGCCGATATTTTTTTGTAGTTTTTTGCTTGAGCCCTCTGGTGGGCGGCGGGTACAAATAAGGTGCATGGGCGAGCCCCGCGTGCATGTGTGCTGCATTGTTCTGCCAATCATATTACCGTGATTTTTCTAGTGCGTTACAAAGCGAAGCGGTATGTGGCTTGGCCCTTGTTTTTTCTCTCTTTGACAGAAGGCCAGGGTGAATGGGGGGCCTCCGGCTGGGGATTCATTCCGCGTAACCTACCCCCGGGGCGGGGCGCGTTCAGTGGTTAGACGATGCGATCCCAGGGCAATAAGAAGGGCGGGGGCCGGGTGTGTGTGTGGTAAAAAGGAATGTCTTGTACAAATAACAAAATTCGAGTGACACGCTTCTCCCCCCGGCAAACAGTGGACTGTTTTTGGCAGCTGTTACGGCACGCGGGAAAAGGGAACGAGGCACGCAGAACAACGTTATCCAGCTCGCCGAAAATGTAAGCGGGAAAATGTTGAGCATTTTCCGGCAAGGGGTTTGGTCTGGTTGTGCCCGCCGGGCGCAAGATCCCCGTTGCTCCTAGGAACGTGAAGAATGTGAGTCGCTACTGTTTCTGGTTGTAGGAAGAGGGCGGTCTTGCTCTTCTCTGCTCCACTCGTGTCTGCCCGAATCGAAAGACTGCAGCACCGGCTGGTGGGGGTGGCGGTCCTTTTTTTTTTTAAGGTTTCCGTCCTTGCGGTGGGGACAATGACCTACCAGTTAGAAACGGCGACCATCACATAAGAAGTTTGTATGTATGCACAGTCTAAGAGAAGACCAGAACAACTTGAGGGTTCGATTCTCACGAAAAATGGCGAGAACTTGAACCCCACCCACAATGAAACTTACATGTTCCCTGTTGATTTTCCCACATATCATGAAGTAAGAGCGAGTGTTGCGTAATATAAGCGGATTGTTAGGTGCGCTAAATGGATCGAGAAGCCAACAGAGCACTTTGTTCGCACACACGAATCAATCAACATATCGGCACGAGGTGTCATTTTTTCCCTCTCGACACTGCTGTCCCGAAACATTGCCCGGTACTGGTTGCCCGAGAGCCCCTGGAGGACTTTGCTACTTTATCTTCGTCCTCTCTCATTTAGTCCGCACATTGTCCTTCGTTTCCCCCCCCCCCAACTTGTATTGCCGGCCTTGTCTTTAAGCGAGCCAACAGAGAGAGAGAGAGAGAGAGAGACGGCACCCTCGCCACACGATCGACGAGCGACCGAAAGGGGTCGTGTGTTCCGCTAGCCTAAACTCCCGCTGGGAATGATCCAGGAAGAACTCGTATGACGGCAGTGCCTTGCAATGCCGTGCCTTGCAATGCCGTACGAATGTTCCTCGACCAGAGACAGACGGGCAAACTAACGCGAGACATTTGGGGCAGTGCATTCCCGTAAGAAGAGCGGAAGAAGTCCCTCCCATGCACACTCGTAGATGTTCCAGTTGCAAAATTCGCGGGTAGAACGGTGGGATTCGCCACACTCGCTTCGCTGGTGGGGAAGGCTCATTTGATGCGGGTAGGGACAGAAAAAAAGAAAAAAAAACACGTCTATCAAGACTGACGTATTTCACTGGTCAGCCGCTTGGCGTCGTCGATGCCAATAATAGAAACACACACACAGGAGTGCAAGAACGCTTAGAGAGCCCACCGCCGGCAAACTGAAAATGCGGTTGGTTGGGGTGCGACAAGAAGACTTGTTGTGCTGGAACAAAGAACTCCCTTACAACACGTACAGAGAATTTACAAAACATGCTTGAAAACAAGAGTTGCTCCGCACACGTTAGTCTCAACCAATTAATACTCACAGCACAGCCCCAGCCAGACCACAAACTATTAGCGTCTTTCACCCAACAAACATACCTCGCGGGAGTCCACCCTATCTCATTGCTCTCCCCCCAACGCGCAAACGAGAAAACTCTACTGCAAGGGATCCAACCCCAACAACGGGGAAAAAGGAGAACAACCACCGGACCGTCAGAACCTACCGCAGCCACCCAATACCATCCAATCAAGGAGCCGAACTAGACGCACCCCCGACCAGGGCAGTGCCCCCCCCCCCCCCTCCCCCCCCTCCCCCTCCCAAGGGCTGAATTCTCGTGTCCTTTTGAGACGTGGACATGGGGCCGGGGAAGCCAACCAGGTCAGATCTTCCTACAGATGCGCCGCAGGTGTAACGCTTGCAAAAAAAGGGCGCACCTGTGTGCAGGTCAGATCTTCCCACGATGCGACGCAGGCACTCAAGTTTGAAAAATGGCGCATTAGTGTGTAGCTCGGTGATTCTGCACTCTCGCCGTCCGGCGCCAATTGTTGGTTGGCTTTATCCCCGCCGTTGGTGACTAACTCGCCCACTAAAACGAACAAATCTATTCGCCTTCATCCAGAGGGAACACTGACAGGGCGCAAACAAAACAAAAAACACACGAACATTAAAGGCACGATTTGCAACCCGTTCCGCCGCGAACGGCTCGCCCTATATAAAAAGCCTAAAGTATAATACGCTAATACTACTTGAAGTATACATGTGTAGCAACTCTTCGTCATGCCGGGCTAGGCCCTCCCGAAAGATTGATGCCGTTACTGCCCTCCCCGCCCCCCATTAACAACGCCTCCAGATCCTCCGCCTCCTGCACCGTGTCTGCCAGCACCCCCGCCTCCCCTCCCCAG